AATGATATCACAAATCAATTCGAGTACAAACAAAACCTAGAATATAAGATAGAATTAGCATTGAAACATGCTTATAAAATAAAAAAATAGATATAAAATATTTAGTTCAAAAGAGAAAAGAAAAAAAAACTTATTTGACCTCGTCGATCTCTTCTTCCCGACATTCTCGTTCATTTTGCGTGTGCTCCTAGCCGTTAGAACTCTTCAGAACTCTGAAAAGCTCTAAAAAAAACTCTCCCAAAGACGTGCCCTATTGTTCCTTAAGTAGTTGGGGACGAGTCCAGTCGAAATAGGCGGAAAACACCGTAATAATAGGATAAACGCGTGAGTTGGAGGCGCTCGACCCACACGACTTGTTTGAAAACACCACACGAGTCATGTGACAAAGTTTAGAGCGTGTATCAAACTCTTCGCTTGACACGACTCTTGTTGGACGACGCACGAGGCGTATGATACCCGGGCGCCAAAATCAACATTTTATTGACGGCATGCAACTTTGGCATGTTCTACAACTTCTCAGGTGGTCAATAAACGACCAAACGACCTCCCAGGTGTCGCGAATGGCGTAAAGGTACTCAAGTGGTCGGACATGGTGGATTCTAGCCACCCACCCACATCAACTTTTCTACAGCACAAATTCGACATCCGGACGACTTCTACGGAGATAGGATGGTGGAGGCAGTCAACTTGGCTCCAGAAAATAGACTGCAGAGATATGGCAGATAGTGGTGGAGAAACGACAGGTTCATAGCACAAATGCAAAGGCGGACAACTTTTAAGAAGCTAATGACTTGTGCATGTGACGTAGCGAAAGCTAACGAAATGGATAAAGGAAGAGAAATACTCTCAAATATCTTTGTTAATTAAATTCAACCGATTGAAACACAAGAATATACGAGTCATTAAATAGAACTCCTAAAAAGCCATAACTTCGTCTAACAAGTAAATGATATTTAAATATATTTTCTACCAAATAAAAGAGTAGAATAATTAAGTCATTTTAATAACAAACTAAGACTAAAATAATAATAATAATAAATAAAATGAATAAATAATTATATTAATGATCCAAATATTATTTGTACCACTAATTTAAAATTGATTGTATTTTTCAAATAAAATTCCCAATGCACTCAGATTTGGGTTTGGCACACTCACATGGGATGGGAAGACAGAAGAGCTGAAGATTAGAACAGAGATGGGATCTTTCTATCTTTGCTCCGCCCCGCCATCATCAATGGCAGCTTCAAAGCTCCAACTTTCTTCGAAACCCCTCATATTCTCCGTCGGCGGCAGAAGGCCTGAACGCCTCTATTTTCCGGGGAACGCGTCGTATTCCCAAAGCAAGGTGGTTTTCCGTTCATCTCCTCGAGCTGATGGCTCGGCTGATTCCAACTCTCCGGCGGGGGACTCCGGCCCAAGGTTAGTTTTTGAAAGTTCCCACTTAACTGGATTGTTGTGATACGGTTTGGTTTTTCGTGATTTGTTAGTGTGATTATCATTTCCTTATCTCCCATCATTTTGAAGATTTAGTGAGAGTTAGTAGGATATAACTATGTTCTGTTGAATGTTTGTTAGTAAGTAATAAAGTAAGACAATAATTGATTTGGGTTTCGTGTTGGTCGAATAGAAGTTCAATACTTCTGTATATATTGCTGTTGGCTGAAGGGGAAGCTCAAGAAAACTGTTGTGTTTTGGTTCTTTGATCCTTAGTATTATTGAGACTTGAGCTATTGTTCATGCACAAATGTTTGTGTAAGACGGTATAATCGTTAGGCGGGTTGTCAACCCGTAACACCCTTTTAACAAAAGATTCACATGTATGTTGTGAAATGTCATCCTTTAGTTTATGTTGTTTCTTATAGTATCACATTTCGCGTTTCGGTTAGAAAGTACGCTTATCTGCATATTTGTTGTTAAAATATGGCAGCCTAACCATAGTCCGGCCTAATAGAAGCCTTACTATCGTTCACGATGTTTGATCTTTTACGTATCACTTTTGTAGAGGATGTAAATTTCTTTTCCTATGTCTTATGAGAACCCATCTGCTTTATTCTAGATATCGTTGTACTTAGCTTCTTTTAATTGCTAAACCGATGACAAGAAAATAACGTTTTAGCTGGCAAATTATTCCATTTCTTTAAGTTCCATAAATATGTGGTGGCTTAAAAATACAGTTTGATATAATCATACAATTGCATCTTCTTGTCGATAGCTTGTTTGTTATATTAGGGGAAGAATTTTAAAGTTTTGGAGTTTTCTCTAAGGCTATGTTTGGTAGGCAAATAAACTAGCTTATAGCTTATTTGGTTAGCTTATAAGCTTCTTGTATTCAAATGAACTCCGTTTGGTAGGACGAGCTTTTTAAAAAGCTCGAGCTTATTTGATAAGCTTCTTTTGTAGTTTTTCAAATAAGCTCGTTGAAATTTTTGTTTTAGCTAAGCTAGCTTTTCATCTATAAGTCAGAAGTTATAAGCTCGAAAATTACTAATCAGCTATCAGATAGTTTTACCAAACATAGCATAAAACTAATTGATATAAGTTTGAGCCTTTTTAAAATTCTTGCTTGCAGCAATTTTTGCATTATTGAAGGACCCGAAACTGTTCAAGATTTTGTCCAGATGCAACTGCAGGAAATCCAGGACAACATTAGAAGTCGGCGCAATAGAATTTTTCTCCTCATGGAAGAAGTTAGTCTCCTCGTTCTTGCATTATTATTATTATAATAATTATTTTTTTTTTATTAAGTGGTTTTTTATCATTCTAACCTATGGCTTTTCTTATCATTGCTGAAGTTGAGGAGGCTAAGGGTGCAACAACGGATTAAGAGCATGGAAGGTATAGCCGTGAACGAAAATGAAATGCCGGATATACCCTCGTCTATTCCTTTTCTGCCTCACGTGGTGATTATCTCTCCCTTCATCATAGAGAGACAATGAGACTTTTTGGATCCGAACTGTTTTCAGATTTCGTGCGCTTGGTTTTTTAGTTCTTACCGTTTAGGATATTTGAATTTTGATCTCATTTTTCATTTTATTTTTCTTGGTCTTGACATAGACACCCAAGACATTGAAGCGGCTTTATTTGACCAGCTTTTCGTTTATATCCGGAATTATAATTCTTGGGGGCCTAGTTGCGCCAATTGTGAGCTCCTAATTTCGAGCGTAGCTCATTCCAAATCATTTCTTTATTTTTTTATTTATTTATTGTTTTTATGAGAATTGGTGGATTAGTACTGTTTTCATTAACATGTTCGACTTTCATTGTAGCTTGAGCTGAAAATGGGTTTAGGAGGTACATCGTACGAAGATTTCATACGCAACATGCATTTGCCTATGCAGTTGAGGTACATAAAAGCTCAACTTTTCATTCATAACATTTTTGGTGGATCTAAATGTGTTATCCATCATTCATCTGTATAAACTATTGCTCGGATATTTTCTGTGAGCTTTTGATTTTCTTGTATTGCAAACTACCTCATGCCTATGAGTCACGTCAAATTTCAAATTTGCTCGATATTTATTTCTCCAGTCAGGTGGATCCTATCGTGGCCTCATTTTCGGGTGGGGCCGTGGGGGTTATTTCGGCATTAATGCTCATAGAGATTAACAATGTCGAGCAACAAGAGAAGAAAAGATGCAAGTACTGCCATGGAACTGGTATTTGTTTGAAGTTCATAAATTCAATGCCATTATAAACACACACACACACACACACACACACACACACATATATATATATATATATATATATATATATATATATATATATATGGTGAAGAATCGCATTTAGACACTTTATTCATAGTTCAACTAAATTTTTTTCCGCTTGTTCTTTCTACCTTTGTATGGGCGTAAATTACCTTTGGGAAAAATGCATTTTTAGTCCCGTTGGTTTAACGCCATAGCAATTGTAGTCACAAAGTTCCAACTCTTCGCCTTTTGGTCACGTGATTTAATATTTTGCTGCATTTTTTAGTCCAATTTTAGTCGTTTGATGACTGAAATTGCAACAAAATTTTAAATTACATGACTCAAACTTGCAACAAAAATTTTAAATTACTAATAAAAAACCCATCCCAAAGATATAAATTTGAGAATTTGTTACAATTTCAGTCATCAAAGGAATCAAAGGACTCAAATTGCAGCAAAATATTAAATCACAAGAGCAAAAGGCGAAACATTAGAATCTTGAGACTAAAATTGGCATGGCGTTAAACCAGCCCGACTAAACATGCAATTTAGCCATTACCTTTTAGTCTACTTTCTGTTATCTGTACTTAACAAGCATGGTCTCTTTAAAGCTAGTGGTCATATGATTCTTTATACTTCATTAAATTAGCAAAACACATTTATCATTTGGCAATGATATTACATTAGAATACTTTCTAAGTTTTGAACGACCCCGAGCCTTTTCTTGGTTAATTCCTTATTATAACCGGTTATTGATAGGATACTTGGCATGTGCACGTTGTTCGGCTAGTGGCTTGTGCTTGTCGGTTGAGCCTATAATATCAAGTGCCTCTGATAGCCCTTTGCGTGCCCCAACCACTAAAAGGTGTCCAAATTGCTCTGGGGCTGGAAAGGTAAACGTAGTATATATGTTTGTAAAACAATTTCATTTTCAGCTATTGATAAACTCATTCGTTGTAATTTCGTGCTGTATTTACTACATTCTGTTATTGTTCAATCTTTGTTTTTTCGGGGGATTTATGTATCAGGTGATGTGTCCAACGTGCCTTTGCACAGGGATGATGATGGCGAGTGAACACGATCCTCGAATAGAGCCATTCGACTAGATATATATACAAGTGTTTGCCCATGTTTTTTTACATATTTGAGAAAAAAGGGGGCTCCTCATAGAATAGAAACATGAAAGATATTTGTTATATGTTTATTTTTCTTGATTTTATAGAATATTGGTGTTTGAATTTGAAAGTATGTATATATGTTGAAAAGATATGATATTTCAATTGTTATGGGTGTCTTAACAGCTGTTTTAAATTTTGTTCAGCATCCCCTTTAACAAGTTTATGTTGAGGTAGAAAGAACTCAACCTAAAGGAATAAAGTTTCTATTGAGATAGAAAGAGTTGTACATTGCTTACAAAATTAAAATAACATTACTACATAAAGAAAATACATTTTTATGATATGAAATAGTTTTAGTTAAAACTAGAATTTTGAATTAATTTAAGGGATATACTATAATACAACAACGTATTGGACCCGAATAAGCTGGGCCGTTTTGAATTCTGCAATCAGCATACCGCGGTGAATATGTACTCGGGCCCTGTACACACCGCCCGACACACCCTGGGAATTGGTTTCGCCCGAAGCATCGGACCAATGATCACCCATGATTAGTTTTGAACTTTTGATTAATTTGGTCTTGACTCTTAGGAATCGACGAAATACCTGGTTTGATACATAATAAACAACTTGAGCTTGTTAGGAGGGATCATCATAAATTATCAAAGCGTTTTGTTTATGGTACATAAATTACTAATAATTTATTAGTAAGGGATTGGATCACATTTGAATGAAATTCAGTCTGAAATTCAAAAGCAATTTTAAAGGAAGGAAATAAATAATTATTGGAACGAATATCCTCCCTATATATAATTCCCGAATGCGTTGAGCTTACGTGGCTGCTTCTGGTTCTTCAGAATCCTACTTGGCGAAGAATCATGCTTCGTAATTAGGTTTGGACAAATAATATTGATATATTAATAGTTAATAATCTAGATTCGTACATTCCATAAATATTATTTACTTAACTTAGGTATTTTAATATCACTTTTACTAATATAACCCTTTAATTCTTCGTAATTTTACATAGTGACGCACTAAGTGACTAATATATCCTTACTTTTGATTTGCTTCCACAATTAGTTATTGAATTGTAAATGTATTTTAAAAGTTGATAATTTTTGTATTTCTTATCGATTTTACATATATAATATATCAAATCATCTTTTGATGATTTTCGATTTGACATCCATATTGTATATATAAAATAAATAAATAAATATTATTCACCTTTATAATAATAAAAAATAATAATATCTACTAAAATTCATTAGAAAAAAAATTATTTATTAATTGATATATTTATGTTAAATGTAGTTATATGTTGTAAGTTAAAAAATTATTATAATATAACACATGTAAGTCGTATAAATAAAAAATGTCATACTAAATATATAATAATATATATATATATTTTTATAAAAGGTATTTAAATTTCCAACTACTTTTTCTCAAATTTTAAGAAATAAATTAACAAATACCCGTGTAATACATGAGCGTTGTCCTAGTTAAAAATAAATTCCAAATTTTCTATGTGATACTTTTTTTTTTGGCAAACATTTCATATTAATTAGAATAAATTCTTAACTTTTTTCATATATAATAAAAGATTTATACAATTTCTCAAATGCAGGGGCATTTCTGGTATTCAATCTGTCCGAACCCTAGCTATATAAATCCCAGTGCTCAGCCCTCACACTCTTCACTCGGCATTAGGTTTTCTCCAGTCAAGAGGCAGCTAAGCTCGTTCTCCTCAATTCAGCGCAGCCATGGTATCTTCTCTCACAGCACAAGCAATTTTCAAGTGATTTATTAATTTTTTCGTATCAATTGTTCGATGCCTATGTTTGTTTCGATTCTTTTCCTGGGTGATTGTATTTTGGTCGAGGATTGGTTGAGAATTGTCTGTGCTTCGACCTTGTCCAATGAAATTTGTTATCTACGTCCATGGGGGTTTCATTTTTGGCGTTGCTAATCTGACCTGAGCTTAATTTAAAGTTATGGTGATGAAAAATCGATTCTTTGTCCCAGAATGTGTCTCATAAAATGTGTATCGATTGTTCTTTTGTAATAAAATGTGTTGTTTTTCATTAATGTCACATTGTATGCTTGATTGTGCAGGTAATTTTTATGGTGGTTCATGTTTAAGTGATGTTCGTGATGAAATTTTGCTTGTAATTCGCCGTTTCTTGTTCGGGTACATTTTGTCTGTGTATGTAATATTGCTTTTCTTTTGAATGTGTTGTAGTCGAAGAGAAGGACAAGAGAGCCCAAGGAAGAGAATGTTACTCTTGGGCCTGCAACTAGGGAAGGAGAGCTAGTGTTTGGTGTTGCCCACATTTTTGCCTCTTTCAATGATACTTTCATCGTAAGTATATGTGTTTGTAACTCGAAGACTTCATGTATGTCTAAGAAAATGTGGAAGGAAACTATTAGAAAACTTTTTTGAAATGTTCTGTTGTTTTGCTTGCAGCATGTCACTGATTTGTCAGGCAGGGAAACCATGGTCCGCATTACAGGTAATTTTTTTTGGGCATTTTCCAGTGTTTATGGTTTATGATAGAACCTTGGACAAATTTGATTATTTTCCTTTTTTTATTTGTTTACACGCAGAAAGTTTGTGAATGGATTTCTATCTCAAGTTATAAGTATTGACTAGTTGGTGGTAAACTTCACTGGAATTGAAAATTTGTTGTCTCCATGCAAATTGTGTTCTTTATACATGTGAACCCTAGAGATTAGGTTGATGACAATGACAATGTGATATTTGGTCCCTCTCTGTTGATATTGAAATACCTTGAGGTAAACCATATGAGTGCTTGTTTCCACTTTTCACCCCAAATCATATTTTTTTCAGGAACTAGGAATGCTATGTAGCTGTAGCTTGACATGCATTTTGTTTTCATGAGTTGGACTGACTTGGATTTTGGAAAAAAAAGTGTTAATTCAAATGAGATGAACTAAAATATGAATTATGGTTCTTGTTTCCACATTTGGTCTGGAATTTGCAGTAGTCGCTCCTAATATCCAGAATTTGTTGGAGTTAATACAGTAGGTGAACTCCTAGTATTCAGAATTTGTTGGAGTTCAGTAGCTACTCATAATATTCATTGTTGGAATTATGGTTCTTGTTTACATTCCGAGTTCCCATACCACACTGTTCTCGTTCAATATATAGTACCACCAAAATTTCATGCAAAATAACCACACATATAGGTTACTGCACCTCGTAATCTCTTGTGTCATGTCCTTTTATTGTTTCTTGTAAATATATCAGTTTTCAAAAGCACAATGCTATCCATCTATCACATTGGTTATTGCTGGAAAATTTGACTAAAAATCAATTTTTCTTTGATTTTAGGTGGCATGAAGGTGAAGGCCGACAGGGATGAATCATCCCCATATGCTGCTATGCTTGCGGCACAAGATGTTTCCCAGAGATGCAAGGTTTCAAACCAAAAAAAAATCATCTTCCCTAACTTGTAGACTAATCCTAACTTGTAACTATTTTCTTTATAAACTGACTGTTACTCTGAAATATATCAGGAACTCGGTATCACTGCCCTTCACATTAAGCTCCGTGCCACTGGGGGTAACAAGACCAAGACTCCTGGACCCGGTGCTCAGTCTGCACTTCGGGCTCTCGCTCGTTCAGGCATGAAGATTGGGAGGATAGGTATATGAATAAGTTTTTGAAATTCTCTTAAACAAATTTGGAATTTAATTTTTTTTATTTTTTTTTGAAATTATATGTTGCTGATTTTTTTTTCAACCCTATCTTTACAGAGGACGTGACCCCAATCCCAACTGATAGCACTCGCAGAAAGGGTGGTAGGAGGGGAAGGAGGCTGTAAAGCGACTTTGTTGCCAGAATATTTGTTGGGGCTTGGGGTTTGGGCTCTCAATCGTTTTACGAATTTTGTTATTCCCGTTTCATGTTAACCGAACGATTTGTAGTTTAAACTGAAATTTGTTGGTTTTTAAGGTTATCTTGAAGGTTTGAACATGGTGATTGGGCTATTATGAGATTGTGGTTTTGCTGGAACTGGTTTTCATCAATAACTTCTTTATATGAATTTGGCATGCTAGTTTGTTGGAAGGTAGCTATTTATATTATAGCCATTAGTATCTGACTAAAGTAATTATGTGAGTTTGTTGGGTCGTCCATTGGAATGCTTTGTTGTTTACACCATTTATTGGGCCTGGGCCAGTTTTTTGAAGGGATGTTTGGATAAAGATTTCTTTGGTCTTATCATGTTAACTAAAGTTAAATTTTGGAAAGTTAGTATGATTAGTTAGTGATATCCCCCTATATATTAATACAGAACGCGCTGAGCCTACGTGGCTGCTTCTGATGCTTCGGAATCTTATGTGGCAAAATTACATGCTTCGTTATTAGGCTTGGGTAAATTTTAGTTTAATTCTAAACCAAAAATAATTAGGTTCGGATTACTATAAATATGTTGATTATTTATGGTCATATTACATGTATTAATTGTATTTTAATATCATTCCTTATTATAACTATTGAATTGTATATATATTTTAAAAGTTAATAACTTTTGTATTTTTTATTAGCTTTATATATGTAATATATCAAATTAATCTTCTTTTGATGAGCTTCGATTTAACATCCATATTGTATGTATAAAACAAATAATTTATATTTATCTTTATAACAATAATAAAATTATTTTTAATATTAATTAGAAAAATAAAATTATTTATCAACTAATATATTTATATTTCAAGTAGTTTTATGATCTAAGTTATAAAAACTAATATAATATAACACATGTAAGTCATAAGTAACACATATCATTCTAAAATATATAGTTATATAATTTTTTTGTAAAAAAAATAAACTAAATTTAATATAGTTTTTTCATTAATTTTAAAATTTAAGAATAATTTTTTAACAAGCACCCGTGTAATACACGGGTGTTGTACTAGTTTTAGTTTATATTAAAATAATCAATGTTGATTTGATGTAAAAGTAGAAAAAAGACGTGTGAAGTGATTGTTAATTTAAATTATGTGAGGGGATTGAATAGTAAATTAAAATTGATGTAATGTATAAAAAAAGTGACTGTTAATTTAAATTATGTGAGGGGATTGAATAGTAAATTAAAATAGATGTAATGTATAAAAACGACTGATTGATATGATTTCAAATGTAATGATGATGTTGATGTTAATGTTGTTTAGTTAATTACATGGCTTATTAGTTGTGTCAAAAATGTGAAATTGATTTCCTTTTTAACGCTCTAAAAGTCATCGTTGAGTCTCATTATCACTTTTTCTTATTTATTCTAACACATAGTAACATGTGACGATTTTTCATTATATCTCTACTCTCTCACATTTTCTCTTCACGCACGCAAAACAATTATAAACTTATATTCGCTTCTTCTAATTTCCTCTTTTTCTTCCCCAAATATATATATTATATATATATATATATATATTTTTCCCAAAATGTATCATTTTTTTTCCTGCGGTCGGATGTTGTCTGTAGGCTTGAAATTTGACGTATTGGAGACCTGGAGGGAGGAGGAAATCTACGGCTTTGCGACGTCTCACTTTCTTGGCTCGTCGTATGGCGGCTGACGACCTTTGATAATATTTTTCTTTTATTGTTATCCTTACAAAATGTTGTTCGATTATTGTAATAGAGTTTTATTGTTGTTGTGACATCTACTATATCATATATTTGTTATAAAATTTACTTTTGTAACATTTTAATCGTTAAATTGGAAGTTGTTTCATGTTGCTCGACATATGTTATATTGTTGTTTTGTTGTTACGACACACTATCATATTCTTTTTATGTTGTTTTGACTTCGAGAGATCAATGATGGTGTATAAATTATGTTTTCATTATCTTTTCTTTTATCTTGTTCATAATCAGAAATGAGAACAAATATGTATTTTTTTTTATTAGGTTTAGATTTGAAATGTTTTGTATGATTTATAACTCCCTTTTTATTTTTTTATTTAAAGTTAATTTAAACTTTTTGTTTATTATCCTTTCTTTTTGTTTTAGCGGTTGTATATAAGTTCCAAGAATTTTAGCATTTTTTCAAATCCATGTCTTCCACAGTTTTCATTTTTTTTTCTTGTGCATTTATGAATTTTTGTCCTACCTATGTACATAGGTCAGGCTTCTTGGGCCAATTTCGATACTGGGCCAGGCTCGTAATTGTTTTTGGTCCCTAACTTATGGCTATTTGTAGGTTAGGTTTAGGAATGCCTAATGAGCATAATATAGATGTTTGGGTTTTCATGCTAAAATTGGTTATTAATTTTTTTTTTCTTTTGTTCCACTAGTAATCATTTGTCCAAAAAAGTTATGTATAAGAAACGGGGAAAAACGGGTGCGGTCCCATGCACGTGAAGCGCACCATAAGCAAGAAAGTTCAAATGAAGTTCAAGTGGGGTTCCATCCCAAAACCAATTGATGGAAGGAGGAGTAGCCGACTTATAAATTAGACCTATTTTCCCTATATTATAAACTATGTGAGACAACTCACAAGTGATATTTTAACATGCCCCCTCACTTACGAGTCCTTAATAAGAAAACTCAAGCCTAAATACGGAGCTGAGTGCCCAAACCCTACTAAAAACATGCTTCCATAAACGGGTACGTGGAGAAAAACAGTTACGTCATCGCACGATATCAATAGAGTCAGCCCTAGTATCATGTAAGAATTGGGGGAAAAACGGGTGCGCTCCCACCCACGTGAAGCACACAAATAAATGGTAGGCCCAGATGAAACCCAAGTGAGGTTTCATCCCAAAACCAATTGGTGGAATGAGGAGTAACCCATTATACTTATAAATTAGGCCTATTTTTCTATATAAACAATGTTGGACAACTCACAAATGAATATTCTAATACGTCCCATCACTTGTGAGTCCTTAGGAATACGAGTGTGTCATCGCACAACCCCAATAGAACCAACATTGATACCATGTAAGAAAT